CAACATCCAGAAATACCCCTGTTGCATATAATTTGTGCTCTAAGGCTGTCGCAATGTAGTCTGTCACTCGGTGTAGCTGATGAATGGTTGAGTGGTGTGAACGAAATCCAAACTGATGTTCAGGTATTATGTTTTCAGTAGTCAGTATGTCAAGAAGCCATTTGTAGAGAAGTTTCTCAAAGATTTTAGGGCATAATGGGAGCAAGCTGATGGGTCTGTATGATGAAGGAAAGTAAGTGTTTTTGTTAGGTTTGTGAATCATTTTTATGAATGAATATTTCCATTGTAAGGGGAACTTAGTCGTTCTGAGTATTGCGTTATAAATTGATGTTAGGTATACTAGAGCTTTCCTTGGCATTTTCTGGAGCACTTGAGCATTTATCAGGTCATGACCGGGAGCTTTCTTTTTAGGTAACTGTCTGATTTGTTCTGCAACTTGAGTGGGAGTGAAGCAAAGTGGAGGTAATGACAGTTGTAAAGGAATGTTTAAAATGTTTTGTTCATGTCTTTCGTGATCAGTATTAGAGAAGTCAGTATGTGGTATGAAAACAGAAGAAAGGTGGTTGGCAAAGAGCTCAGATTTTTCAAAGTCTGACACAGCCCAGGAACCATCTACGTTTCGGAGTGGTGCTGACACCTCACGATGCTTTACAAGTTTCTTACTCTGTCTCCATAAGCTTCCATCGTCAGTCGAAAGATTTTTGAGGTAATTGTCGTAGATCGTTCTTTTAAAATTCTGAATCTGACGTTTAAGTTCATGTTTTAGTCTATTGAAAGTCCGTTTGTCAGATGGGAGTCGACCAGTCTGCCACACTTTGCGCGCTCTTCTCTTTGCTCTGATCAGGTCTCTAATGTACTGCGGATAGATTGGAAGAGACGTATTTCTGCTGGGTCTTGGTACAGATGATGACCATACAGCTTGTTGTAAACTGATTGTGAACTTATCAACAGCTTTTTCGAGTTCCTCTTCGGTCTTAAGGTACATTGGGATTGATAGCGTCGAATTTAAGTAGTCGCTGTAAGCTTCCCTATCGATTATCCTATCTGTAAGTGTTGGTTTTTTTGATGCAGTACGAGGCTCATCGCATAGTACCAAACTGAGAAGAGAATGATCAGAACAAAGATCAGAGCTTGCAGTTACAGTATACGGCACTGTCCTGAGTCCTTTAGTAATGAAAAAGTCAAGTAAATCTGGTGTTTTCTGTCTTGAAGTTGGCCAGTAAGTAGGTGTATCAGGCGAGATCGTGTTTAATGAAAGCTGATCGATGGCAGACTTTAGATTTCTTTCTCTAGGAGTACAAAGTCGTGCTCCCCAGGACTGATGTTTGGCATTATAATCACCACCAGCAATAAAACACCGACCGAGATGTTGGAAGAAATTGTAAAACATTGCAGATGTTAGTACATATCTCGGAGGGCAGTACACTGCAGCGAAGGTAATGGTATGGTGCTGGGTATAAAGAGTAATTGCTGTGGATTGTATGTCAGGTGTAATGGGTAATTGTAAATTGTTGTGTTTTAGTGATTGCTTAATCAGTATTGCCGTACCGCCAGGTGCCGTCTTATCAGGGTGGTCAGTTCTATATATTTTGTTGCCTGGAATGTAAAATTTAGAATGTGGAGTCAAATGTGTTTCAGTGATGAGAGCAATGTCAGTCCGTTTTTCATGTAGGTACATGTCAAGTTCGGTCCTGTGTTGGTTTATACCATTTGCGTTCCCAGGAGCCCACTGTCAGCCGATTAGTAGCCATAACTGGAGGATAAGGCTTGTGCAACGTGAGACAGTTCTTGGAGAAGGCTGAAAAGAGGCTGGATGAGGTTATTCAGTCACTTACCAAGTTGAAGAGCTGAGCTGAAGCCGGGTGATTGTAAGTCGGTGGCGGCGGCTGAGTAAAGCCCTTTTTCATTTCTGGATGCTTTGGCTGGTGAAGGTGATTTTCTGGGACTTCTGTAGGGGAAGTTCGCAGTTTTGGTCCTATATATTGGGAATCGGGTTTTGAAGAACCTGAATTTACTGTCTGCTGACTTTGCGGAAGAGAAGGAAACTCGTCTATACCTGGGGGTGCGCTAGTTTGTGTTTTTTGGGAACTTTGTATATTTTTACGGAGATTCCGTACTTCTCTCAGTTGTTTTAGAGTTGTACAACCTCTATAATTTGCTGGATGGGATCCGCTACAATTCGCGCATGTTGCTGCGGTCTCTCTTGTCTTTTGGCAGAGGGTGCTATCATGTCCTTGGCCACATCTCACGCACTTTGGGGAGTGATTGCAGTAAGCCTTCGTGTGGCCATACTGCTGACAATGGGTGCACTGTGGAATCATTCTTGGTTCTTCAATTTTCACTCTAGTATAGTATAAAAATTTAATATCAAAAATTGTTTCATTAAATGTGGCTTTAGAAATGTCGATAAAGATCATGGGAAGTGGATTTTTATATCTGGAAATAACGTTCACAATACTTGTTGCATCGTAACCTAGGCATTTTAATTCGTATTTTATGGTTTCAATTGGAGTAGCATGGTGTAAGTTTTTTAATACGATTCTTGGATTTCTGTCTTCTATTAACTGATAGGTATGGAAATCGGCACCTACCTGTCTTAAGTTAGCTACTATACGTCTATATGTGTCAGAGTTTTCAGGATATACGGTTACTTCTCCCGATGTGGATTTTAGGTTAAAGCTGTTCAAACCTCCTACACTTTGGAGAAATGTGACCAGTTCGGTGTAGTTCTGTACAATATTCAGGTGGATAAGGGGCGGTTTTACAGAAACCGGTTGCTTAGTGGTAGCATCAGACTCGTCACTAATGGTAGTTAAATCTTCAAAACTATTTGAGGTTATTGTTGTAACTTCGCTTACCTTTTTAGCTTTTCTTGGGTCTCTGTTATTGTCCATTGAGCGTTTTCTTCCTGTAACGAGTTCCCAATTATTTTCAGTAGTTTGGTTTGAGCTTAAGGCGTCCACATTTTCTGTAGAACTGCCAGATATCGACGTGTCAGACATCGTTTGCGGTGAAACCGCTACGCCGAGGTGTGGAGTTCCTATTTCTTGGAGCTAATTGGTTTCAACAACAGAATGCAACAAAAAGGAAAGTTTTCACTGTTACTTTACTCTAAGAATTTGTTAAAAAGATTTTCAAAGAAAAATTAACCTCACTTTTATCAATGTTCACACATGTGTTTTTTTTCATATCCTCAGTTTTATTTCCACAAAAACTTATTATTTCTAACTTCAGCTCCTGTTACTGTTGTTAAAACAAATTAAAATATGGCTAAGCTAAGATTTAAAATGATCACTCTTTAGTGGAAGAAGAAAGGTATAAGCAACTAGCCGATTTGATTAAGTGTATGAAAGGATTACACTTACGATTTTAAGTCTTGTATTGAATACTAAATTTGTTTTCGCATGAATAGAATCAGGATTAGACGAAATTTTTCAAGGCAATAATTGAGAAGTGGGCACTATAAATTTCTACAAGTATCTTGAAATTTCATTTATTAATTTTTCGTATAGTGCAATAGTTCCAATTAAGTAACTGCTCAGGGTATATAAAGTATTAAATGAAATAAACAAAATAAATGAATTATTAAAACGTAAAATAAATTCCTGTAAATGTTTTAAAGTGAATAATCTAAATAAATAAAATATGGGAGCTCAATACAACTTTATTAACTAGATTTAAGGATGTATATTAATATTTATTTATTTATTATATTTACTGAATATTGTTGAACCTGTATATTTTTTTAAGTATAATGAAAAAATGTCTAATCTTTTTTTAATTCAGATATATATATATATATATATATATATATATAATATATATATATATATATATATATATATATATATATATATATATATATATAGCCTAATTGTTTTGTTTTTTTAAGAACTTATTCACTTCTCTTTCTCTTTTGTTGTCACAGAACATTAATCTTGATGGCTTATTTTCAGAAAATATGAACGATTTTCAGAAAATAAACAAAACTATTCGAATAGCCGTATTTGGCAAAAATTATTCAATCTCACGGCTCCTATTATTTCCTCTCCAGAACAATATTTTCCATTATTTTTATTTATTTGTTTTTTATATGTCAATTTAAATTACTGGAGTATTCGAAGTGTCGAATTTTAAATTACTATAGAAACGACTAGTAAAATTTTCCTTAATTTGAGGAAAACACAAAAACTATATAATACTGAAATGTTGTAACTTGAAAATCTAATATATATATTATTCATATACATATTTAAAATATATATTATTTATATATATCTAAAACGTGTAAAGAATCAATCTTTTTATTATTTATGCCATTTTTTTAGTAATGTAAATATTATTAGATTTTGTAATATTGAAAGTTACAATATTATATCTGAAATAATAAACCTATAAAATTGATAAATTATTTTGAAACAAAAAAATATGGGGGAATACCGAAAAAATTTTATTGTTTATGGAATCTACATATCTTGGAACATGAAACTTTAAATTTCAATGATATTAATATTTTTTTCATCTTGATTTTTTCCTCAAAATATTTTTAATTAATTTCATAAAGGAATGGATTATGAAATATGTGTCATTTATTTATATTTTGGCACTAATAGTTCTGCCGATGATCAATTTTAACAAAAGCACTCAACCCAAAATGGGTAAAAATGTTACTTTCTGAAAAAGTAATTCAGATGGATGATGTGCTAGTTATTCTGTTTTTTATTTATGTGAATTCTATTAGTTAAATCCATATAAATATATCGTTAGTCTATATGTGAAACCCGTAAATGACAAATCCCAACCTTTCCCAAAAATCACCAAAACATTTGAGTTTACATTATATGGAGATATTTTATTATGATTAGTAAGTGGTAGCGAGTGATTAATAGAATAAGATCAACTAATTTTTTATCGTTAAACGAAGTTATAGACAAGTTGATATATGAAGTTAACCTTCTTATATAAACGTTCGGATTGAATCCGAGTCATCTAACAGTTGAATGCACATATCTTATCTTCTCCCTTCTGCGAGGTCACAGGGCTCTAGGTATCCTTCCAGCCAACCCTAATAAAGGCTTCGACCAGCCAATAATATCAAATGAGGTAAGCGATATCTTTGTTTGGTTCACCTCTGCAGACTGCTCGACCTCTACCTGAGTCGGATGTAACCCAATTTTTATAATAATGTTCCCAGCTTAGATTATTGTTTCAAACTTTAATTTTCTACAATAATAGCGTTAAGCAGTTCAAAAGTTGTATTTGCCACAATAGATGAAATTTGGGCGGAACTAAGGCGGTATCAAGATTACCTTATGAGGAATCAGGTTAAAAATCAATGAGATGTTGTGCTATGAAATACTGATACAGGATATTCTGAGATACACCTCTCCTGCATGGTCCCAGAGCACCTCATACCGGCTGAAACGCAGGTTGACGACAATTCAACGAAAGGCTCTTTTGCCTTACTTAAGTCATACCGAAGTGTGGAGGAGCATTTTCTCATAAAGGAGGGAAACCTACAGCCAGAATGATTCGGAAATCTGGAATTTATACCATCACGGAAATGAATTTTCTCAATTTGCGCCGGAGCAGATCTGCCCGTATTACAAAGATTTTGTGTACAGGTAGAAAGCTATTCAGGGCTCGGCACGCTTCAATCTAGGAAGAAGAGGAACGGCTCTACGAATGCCACCAGAATGACGGTGTGCTTTTTTCTACCCAAAGACCTGAAGGAGAAAATACTATATATTTAAAATATTGTAGGGTTAATAGCAGGGGTGGCATACACATAGTTGTGCGATATACCGGCCCTGCGAAACCTGTTTGGCCGAACAGCAAGACAAGCAAGAATAAATAAATAAATATGTGAAGGTGTATTTGAAATGGACGAGAACTATGATTTCATTTTTTCGTCTCTTTGCGACGGCAGAACTTTCTACTTCATTCAAGAGATACCCTATATTTGCAATGGATTGACATAGAAGAAGGAAGATAACCCACCATTACCTTCAAAATATATTTAAAAAGTTGCTGATTCTTTCAAAAAAAGTAATAGAAACTATACACAGGACCATCGATTTGCGACTTCAGAGATAATTGATGTATTCTAAAAAAGACTTAAACAAGAAAACTGCGTCTGGAAAATCCAAGAAAAAACAAATCTCATATTTCACCATCACTGAAATCTATATCTCCTGGCTATTCATCGCGATTCGCCTACCAGAATATCATAAGATGGTTTTATACTCCCATATGAGAAATAAATATATCAATTTAATCACTTCAATGTCCTCTGAGATAGAAATAAACTATCTGAAAAACCGGAAATAAATAAGTCTTGTAATATTATCAAAGGATGTGTTAGACAAGCTTTGTAACGAAAAAAAAAAAATAGTCTCTGAGATTCGGTAATCTCGACCATGCAACAGTTAATGCTTTCATGTATTAAACAAATCTATTTATTTATTTTTTTATTTTATTTAAATTAGTTCATTCTTTGACTGCATAGTCATTTCGCACATTGAAAATTAATAGCATAGTTAATAAGAGACTGATACAAAAGACTATCGATTTTTTTTACTTAGTTTTAAAAAAGGTTAAAATAAATTTCGTGATATCATTTGTTTATTTGTTTGTTAATAAATAAAAATAAGCATTAATATTGTGTGGATTTTTTTTCATGATCCGAAATTAGCAATTATGGTGTAAGGCGTAATTTGTGATCCACCGTTTATGTTCGTGTGGCCAGTGTCAACACTTATAGAGTTGAGTTAAACATATTATCCTTAAAAGAAATCCTTTACAAATTTGATATTTAAGTATATTGATATTGAGTTTTGAAACTTTTAAACTAAATACTTTCTAAAATATATAATTATCAAAACAATATTTAAAATAGAATTTTATTTTATTTTCATATATTTTTACATTCCTTTAATTACAGAGAAGTAATTTACACCTCTAACTATGATTCCATTATCATGGGGCATGGTTTTTAATGAATCCATCATGATAATTATGCAAATGGACATGATCATGTACCATGGCATACAATCAATAATGACAGGAAGAAAACAGCTTAATAATTAGAGAGTCATTCCTGAATACCAATACGAAAGGTAATGAAAGCTTCCTCGATATTCATACGCCTGAAGACAGATTCCTTTCTACTTACACGCAATATCCCCACTAACTATAAAGATCGACGAAGTATATATAACTTGGTCCAGTTGTTCAGTTTAATCATACTTCTTTCTTCTCCGGTGTGATGTACATAGCGATTTCAATAATTTTTTGTAGCCTAATTGTGGGTTGTTTTAGTTCCGAAGTACAGAACGCAACTAATCGCAACAAAGATATATCGCAGATCGTAACAAAAGAAGAAACAGTTCCATATCCTATTCCTGTAGAGAAGGAAGTACCAGTTCCAGTTAAAGTGGTCTTCGAAAGGCTGTTCCCGTACTACGTCCAGAAGCCTTACCCGGTCAAAGTTGAAAAGGCCGTTCCAGTGCCGCTAAAAGTACCGGTATCTAGACCGTATCCAGTCTACAAAGAAGTCAAAGTACCGTTCAAAGTAATCGTTGAACGCCCCAAACCGTACCCTTTGCTTCAGCCTGTCCCGGTCTACGTCGAGAAAAAGGTACCCTTGTTTTTGGAAAAGAAGGTTCCTTATGCATTTAAGAAGTACATAGAGATCCCTAAGCCTTATCATGTAGCAGTACCAATCATCAAAAAGGTACCTTATATATTAGAGAAAAGAATACCTATAAAAATTGAGGTACCAGTGGATAAGCCATATCCCGTAGAGGTGACTAAACCTTATCCCGTAACCGTTGAAAAGAGAGTACCTTATCTAGTTGAGAAGAGAATACCATACGCAGTGAAAGTGCCTGAGTACGTCGAGGTGCCAATACCTATCAATGAAACAGAAACAATCAATGATTCTGACAAACAAGGGAAAGTTAGCTTAAGAAATTCAACGATTATATAAATTTTATTTATTTTTTTTCATTTTAATTTTAGTTTTAGTGTATAGTTGTAAAAATTTGTAAATACTGTGCTAATATTTTTGTCATTAGTAATATTTGTAAATAAACGTAAATAAGCATTTGTTTCTGTTCTCTTTTTATAGTCTCCTTGTCCATAATTAAGACTTTTTTTTTATTCCCCTTTTGACTATCAATTATTTTAAGGTAATAGTTATGAATAGCTACTCTAACAATACCAACAAAAAATCTCCTGATATGTATGGAATTGAATAACGGATTCCAGATTTTTTTTTTCATTATTTTCTTTTTTTATCCCTCAATGCTCCTTACTTTGTCACAAATAAAATGATACATAATGACCTTAATGTTCCATATGTTTCCAATTTGGCCCAATCCAGATACCTCTCCTTCCATAATAAACTTCATAACCATCCCAATTCTCTCGTTTCTAACCTTTGCTTCCTCTTAAATTCCTAATAACCCTCCAAGGCGTCTGAAAAGAAGGTGGCCCCGTGATCTCCTTATGTAGACATATTATTAGAGTGCTACCTGTGGGTAGTTTCTCAACAAGCGTTTTCAAGTGATTATATTCTTGTATACACATTTACTTGATGTATTTATATTCTAATACATTTGTAAATATTTTGAATAAATAGTTTTAAAAAAAATTATTTTCTTTTCATTAACGGTAATTACTCTGGGAAAAAACTACCAACAAGGAATGATGTTTTATGTTGTAAGTGGTGCTTATAAAGGGAGGTTGAAAACATGAATAAAATGAAGTGTAAATACAGGAAAAAAATGCTTTTACAATTTTTTTTCTTGACCAATACATGCATCCAGTAGCTGGTATATGAATTACAATTTAAAGGTAGAATATGTTTAAGTATTTAGGTCACTCATAGAAAAAATATGGAGAACATTATCCATAAATCTGCCCTAAGATCCGCCTGCGAATAGAGCAAGATGTTAGTTAATTATAGGGAGAATACTTCTTGGAATAGCGAAAATAATATTTACTACTTTCCATATTCCAGGAATAAGATGCTAAGCCTTCCCTTTAGGACAGGAATTATACAAAGCTGATTGTGCTGGAAGGAACAAGGTGAATATGCATGTCCCGTGAGGCGGGGAGGTGGTCTGGTTAGTAATCAATTGCCGGCAAGAGGAGACAAGAGCTATGCATAATTAAATGACGCCACGGAGGTTACATGTGCCTCTTGTACACTAGGGATAGTGTAACGGTGCACATCTTCCTATGCAATTATATTTGTGTTGCAAGCTACGTGTATTACGCAGTTGCATGTCGACATACTCGAGAAATGTAACGTGATATACGACAATATTAGGCAATCGCAATCGGAGAACTATCAAGCTTGAGATGAGCCTCATCACCATTTGTATTATAGATGAAGAACAAAATACTCATAAACGACAAAAAAAAAAATCAAAAGTACACCTTACAATGATTTTAAGCAGTAAAAGGACTACTATGAAAACAATGAAAAGGATCCAAGTGAAAAATAAATAACAAGGGGATATGAAAAAAAAAAAACTATTTCCCTGTACTATATACGTATATATAAATTTATACTGGAAGAATAGTTGGAACCAATTACCAAAATGTTACCAGCTTTTGCTGATAATACAGCTATCACAAGTAGCAGCTTAAACGCAAGGAAGGCTATGAAATAATCAGAAGATGTTACACAAAAGATCATCGACGAGCTCGATAAATTAAACATCGAGGCAGATCCAGATAAAACAAAAGGGATTGTTTTATCTCTCCAAAGAGGGAGGAAGAAACTACCGACAAAATTCAAAAACTGTGACTATAAGCTTTCCAAAAATGTTATTTATTAGAGTAACTTTTGACCGATACTTAAGTTTTTCGGCACACTTTTGTAAAAAAATGAAAAAGTCGGACAAAAAACATTCTGACTAACTCATCTGCTATGTTCCATGCAAATTTCGATGCGTCTAAAAATGTTGATACATAAAACAATCATACGTCCAACTCTGTTACATGGCAGCCCATTGTTTCCATTACAAAGTCGACTGGAATCGGTTAAAAATTGAATATTGCGGAAAATACTAAAAGGGACGTCACTGCAAAGATTGGAAGCATCAAAACTTCAAAATGAGTTATAAATACAAAAAATAAAGGATTTCATGACTGAAAATGAATGGCAAATTTTACCAACCCACAAAAAATGTATCCAATTGCTTATTTAGACACATTACATCTTCTATACCACCTCAACTATGGCAAGATATGTAGAGATGTATGTATATATTTTTAATTGTATTTTAAGTTTATTAAATAAAAAAGTTAGCTCCATCGCCTAATTAGAAGATAAAACCAATGAAATATTAAAAACTATTGTAAAAACATTAACCTCCTTAAAATGCAGAGAAGAGGCTAAGGAAAAAAACAAAACAACAACTAGTGATTCTATTTTCTAACCATTTCTCGATGGCCTCTTATTGTAGCTATTGGTGATCGTTTCTCCTTTGGAGGACACCTTTGACTTGTGTTAATCTCAAATTGACTGAAACCATTGTAAATAAAGTGTTTAAACATATAAATTTTGATGTGATGCATCAACTTTGATATAAAACTTCTTTTGTATATTTTTTTATTTATTTATTTAGACATATAATATTCTGTCACGGAGACAATAATTATATTGATCAATGAACACATTCACACCGTATATACAAAAAAAAATTAACAAAAGTAAAATAATAACTAAATAATAATAAATAAAAACTATATGCAATAAAAAAAATAAAATAACCTAAATATAAGTAAATTAAAAACATAAAAATACGGTCATACATATATACAATATACTTTTGTATATTAATATCAAAACTCTACATTCTAACTTACACCAACCCATAATATGTCTATTATCTTTGCTTCCAACAATGACGGTCATAACAACTGATTAATATGTCTACATGATCCCAATATTATCATGAATGAAAAAAAAAAAATCGGATGAGACACCTCCTTCTTTGGATAAACGTGACTAAATAAAACTTAATGTGAGATTTGAGTTGATAATATTGCTGGATACTGTTCTTATTAATACCTGAAAGAATAGAAACAGATTAACACTGTTTATATTTTAACGTATGTCATTTTTTTTTTACTTAATTAGGAATATAATAACCTTTCACGTGGACAATAATTATAGAGATATACGAACACATTTACACCAAGTATACAGAAAACATAAAAACAACAAAAGTAAAATAATAACTAAATAATAAACAAAACAAATCAAATAACCTAAAGATAAGTAAATTAAAAACATTAAAAAACAGTCATATCTATATACAATATATACAATCAGGCAGGGATCCCTAAGCCAGGCTTCTCCCTCCAACTATATATGGAAAAGCAGGACTCTAAGAGATCCCTGCGCGACTCTCTCAACCGCGTCAAAGGTGCTAAAGCCAGTGGAGTTTGAGCGAGAGCGCTTTAGCCACATATACTCATGTCGTGAGTGAAAAATCTGGCCATTGCCAGAATTCCAAGATATATATAGCATTTCCAAGTCAATTTCAACCTTTTCCAAGTCAAATTCAACCTTTTCCAAATCAAATTAAACTTTTTCCAAGTCAAATTCAACCTTTTCCATTTCAAATTAAACCTTTTCCATTTCAACTTCAACCTTTTCCATTTCAAATTCAACCTTTTTTTATTTATTTAATTGTCTATAATTTTTTGATGTGTGGGTCTATTATCGTATGAGTAGTTTTTGAAAATAACCTCCATTTTAAGATTACGTGACTGCGTTTCGGATTATTTAAGTTTTTTTGATTTATTCGATGTAAGGGTATATTTTTATGTTTCCGAAGCTGTAGATTTTGAAAATGACCTCCATTTTATGATTAGGCCACCGCGCTTCGACTTATATGAGTTTTTCGGATTTTTTCATATGAGGGTGTGTTCTTATGTTTCCGGAGCCCTATATTTTGAAAATGGCCTCCATTTTAAGATTACCCCGCTGCGTTTTGACTTATTTAAGTTTTTCGAATTTATCCAATTTAAAGGTCTAATTTTATGTTTTCGGAACCGTAGATTCTGATAATGGCCTCTATTTTATGATTACGCCACTGCGTTTCAACTTATTTAAGTTTTTCAAATTTATCAAATATATAGGTCTACTTTTATGTTTCTAGAGCAGCAGATTTCTCCCATTTTGTAAATGATCCCATTTCAAGTTTATGCCACTGTGTTTTCGATTATAAAAGTTTTTTTTTTACTTTTTCGGTATAAGGATCTACTTATATGTTATTGAAGAGGTATTGAAATTTTCCTAATCTTTAATATTTAAATTTATCTAATATTTAATCTACACTTTATGATTAAGCCGCTGCATCACGATTAATTAGGCTTCATTTTTGATTTTTTCAATACAAAGTTTCATAGGAATAAATAAATAAATATTATGGAGCTAAAGTTAAATTAACCGCAGAATAAAAACTAAAAAGCCGAAAAGTAACTGGTAATAAATTTAACCTACCGTGTTCAGATTTTTCAGCTAATTGTTCGAAATCTTATAATTTTGTTACAGGAGACCATAACATTAAAAAAGATAACTAAAATTAAATTAAAAATGAGACAATACAAATTTTATTTATTTCGATTAGATATTTTTATTTATTTATTGAAAAATAAATTAATCCTTCGTATTTTGTTTTTTATTCAAAGGAAAAATCAAAAACAATTAAAAAAAAACCGAAATACAGTGGCCTAATCTTAAAATGTAAGTCGTTTTAAAAACTAACGCTCCGGCATCATAAAAGTATACCTTTAAATTGGATAAATTTGAAAAACTCAAATAAGTCGAAACGCAGTGTCCTAATCATAAAATGGAGGTCATTTTCAAAATCTACAGCTCTAGAAACATAAAATTAGACCTTTATATTGTATAAATTCTAAAAAATTATAAAAATACAGCCCTGTATCGAATAAATAAAAAAAAAACTTAAATAAGTCGAAACGCAGTGGCGTAATCTTAAAATGGAGGTTATTTTAAAAACTAGGCACAGGACAGCATAATACTAGTCCCTAATAAATCCGAATTGGTATTATAAATCGATATCCGTAAGTGAAAATTCTACATAGGAGTGCATAATAATAGATTTTCATATTGAAGGGGGGGAGGGGATGGCAAGTATTTAAAAACATATATAAAATTTAAAAAAAATTAAAACATTAATTTGAAATGAAAACGGTTGAATTTGAATTGGAAAAGGTTTAATTTGATCTGGAAAAGGTTGAATTTGACTTGGAAATAATTGAATATGACATAGAAATATTACACTGAAAAAATCTAAAATGTTAAAATAAATGGATATGCAACGAGTTATCAAATTTTTTTTTTGTATTTTTTAAAAGCTAGCCTTCGATAATATAGTAAGTGGCCTTAATTTCGAAAAAAAACGAAAATTGACAAAAATTCGAAAGTTGAATTTGAATTGGGAAAGGTTGAATTTGACTTGGAAAAGGGTGATTTTGAAATGGAAAAGGTTTAATTTGACTTGGAAAAGGTTGAATTTGATATGGAAAAGGATGAAATCGACTTGGAAATGCTATATCTCAAAAGATCTATGGGCCACTGCCACTTCAACCTTCGAGGAGAATTGTAGGGATGAGTGGAACTAGATAAGAATTGTGCAAGGGGATTTGGATGATTTATTAGGTTCAGATGGAATTCGGAATTTTTTTCATGGATAAGATCCAGGACAAATGGAATATTAAGGTCATCATGTATTGTTTTGTTAGTTACATAAATCGGAGCATCATTTTGTAAATTTTCAGTTTGATGTTAGAAAATTTTCCTGTTTCCCAAAGTTCGAGTCCGTAGGTCCAGATAGGCTTCAGGATTGTCTTGTAGATCAGCAATTTGTTATCAATTGAAAGCTGAGATTTCCTAGTCAGTAGTCTGTATAATTGACCGTATAGTCGATTCAGTTCTTCTCTTTTAAGTCTAGTATGTGGGTTCCACGTTAGTCTTCGGTCTAAGAAAAAGCTAAGCTACCGGACTGTGTCTGAAAAAGGAAGCTGGATGGAATTAAAGTGTACTGGTGGGTTGGATCTGCGCCGGAGCGTGAAGGAAATGTTAATAAAATTAATCTAAGTTTAATTTCTAATTTGACATCTTGAAAACTAATTACATCGTCCTGTATAGTTATATTTTACCTTAAGAAATATGAATTAATAAATGCGGTTTTTCTTGAAATCAATCATAGTTATAATACGGTAATGTGTTTATCGATTATATAATACATAGAATAATGCGTAATCTAGTCCTTCTTGGCGTTATACAATCGGATGATAACATTTCCTAAGGTGAAATAGAGCGATGTAATATGTATTGAGAACTATAGTAGTTAAGCTGAGCTCTACCCTCGATGGTGAACTTTGTATTTTGTACACAACATAAATTTTTATTCTACTTCATCGATATCTTAATCAGTCTATGAATATTTTTATTTTTTCTCAGAATACTGTAATCATTGTGACTATTATTGTCAACAAATATTTATAACCAAAAAAAAAAAGGATAAATTAAAGTTAATAAAAGAATTTTTAATAAATATACTTTTCCATAGGAATTTTTATTTGTTGGGCGCCTGGCTTTACTAGCCTTTCATCTCTAAAGAGATAATTATAGAGAATATAAGTTACTTACCCATTTATTTGGCCATCATTAATTATTTACTCTACCATGCTAGCTCAGGTGAAAAGGGGTTAGGTTGGATAATTTTTATAAAGCAGTAAAAGGTTAACAGATCTATTTACAAAAAAAAAAAATATTTACAGAATTAATGCTATATACAATAAAAAGGAATAAAATACAAGGAAAAAGATGGAATTCAAACATAATTACTATATACAATTAAAGTTAAAAAGGGAGATATTTAAGATAATAAAGATAATAGAAATAACAAAAAAAAGATACTTATTTTATATACAATATTATGGCATGCCACATCCAAACATCTAGAAAAGATAGTCAAGATACAATAAGATGTAAGAGTACATTAACATGCTAAAATATGAATTAGTAATCTCCTCAGGAAACAAAAGAGAGTAGAGTTTGTTTTGTTTCCAGTGTTTTCTTAATCTTGGTTACATATTAAATAAAATAAAATATTAATAGTTGATTAAAACACATGTAATTAGTAATTAAAAGATATGCCTAGTTTTTTTTTAACGACATTTTTGTGGTCAACTTAACGGTTTTCGCAGCATTAGCAGAAGTAGAGAATATGAATGAACTTTTGAGTGGTAACGGTAACGAAAGGAGGAAATGGATAGAACGGGTGGATGGTGGTGAATTCTGGTTGGAGGGTGAAATGCAATGTGCTTTTTATGGATTTAAGATTTTACTGTTGAAATATTTTTATGTATAGTGAGATGTCGATTTTTCCGACTTGAGATATTTTTAAAACTGTTTTTATTTTTTCAGGTCCGTTTTCTATCTATTTATATATTTTTTATCACCGTATCGTTACAGACTTTATTACATGCCTTTTGAATTTAGTATTATATTTTTAATAATATTGGAATTATTGTTTCACTGTTCTTGTTTATCCACATATATTTCACAGATACGGGACTCTTTGTATTACGTTGGAGGTAGTCATGACATTAAAGTCGCAGTGGGCAATGTATATTCAAAGAAAATAACTTCCACTTTCTCGACTTTCGAAAACATGTCACCCATTTTGTTTACTTTATAATATATTTTTATTTGGACAAGGAACGTTTTAGAAAGACACCTTTCCACTCTCTATAGTGCAATACCTAGTCATCAAATGTAATAAAATTTAATAATAGCTGGTAGGTAGGACCATCAGCCATATATTTGATGCAATAAAGTAAGTTACTTTCTAACTATTCTTGAGTGGTGTTTAAAATTCCTTATCTGTAGCTTGATACAGATTATAAAAATCTTTCTTTATATAATAAACATATATGTGGCATTGGTGAATGGTGGATTAAATTTAATTGTGTGTATTACGTTTCAAATATAATGTTTTTCTATTTTTTTTTTTTTACTGCAATTAGGCAAGATGGAAGGAGACACCTTTCGTAGTGGCCATTAGACACAAGTAAAGAACACACAAAATGACACATTTTAAGAATAGTTATTCACGTAATTTCCGGTAAATTCTTATTAAACTAAATAATGCAGTTAAAGTACATTTGTAACTTACCATATTTCCTTTCAGTGATCTGAATAAACCGGTATCCAAGCATCAAATGGATTGTTTAATTAATAATATGAGTAATTATATCATCATCTTTAATTTTTTTTAAAGATGTTTTAGGATGCAAAGATATTTAAAATTGTACTGCACTTCCCAACCGTTTAAGTCTGATAGATAATATGCAGTAAGTCAGTAAGTAAGAGTCAGAAAGAATGCCCCAATACAAATAGCAAATGTTAGGTTTTGGTATGTATTCGATTTAATTTTATTAAGATCCCAATAATTAATAAATACATACTTCGATGCATACGTAGTGGTAATTGGAAAATGTACCTACTTTATGATCTACCTAGCCATTTAAAAAAAAATATATATACATTTTTTCCGGAATTACTTATAATCATTAATATGCACCTTAGATAAATATAGAAACGTAGTGACTGTATAAATTAGAAATACTGTATTTACAGTATAAAAAACATTTTTTACAAGACCTTTATGGGATGAAATACAAGGGTAGCAAATTATGAAATATTGTAGAACAACTTAAAAATAGAAACTTGTATTTTACATAATATACAGAACGAATTAAATGTTCAATACGAAAATGTATTCAACAGAAATATATAAATTAACAAAAAATCGCTATAACGCTAACTTTTTCTCTTTAAATGAACTAAAAACTATCATGGAGGGACGAAACTTCGTGGTTCGATCCATGTTCTGAACCCCAGGACGCGCCTTGCCAATCCGATGAGTCTTCATATTTATTTTCTTCTTTGTGGACGAACACAGGAACGGGCACTTTTACGTATTCGGGTACTTTTACGGGATATGGTACTTTCTTCTCGACGATATAGGGAACTTTCTTCTCGACGGTAACTGGATATGGCTTTGGTACTTCTACTGGGTAAGGCTTCTTTACTGGGACTTCGATTTTCACAGGCACTTTCTTCTCTACGATATAAGGTACCTTTTTCTCGACTGTGTATGGTACATGGTATGGCTTTGGTATTTCGACGAATTGCTTTACAGGATAATGGACCTTCTTCTCTACCTTTACGGGTATCTTCTTCTCAATGTAGACTGGTACGGGCTTCGGTACGTGGACTGGAACCGGCCTGTCTACTGGCACTTTTACGGGTACTTTCACTTCCTTGTAGACTGGATAAGGCTTAGGCACTTTGACAGTGATTGGTACGTGCACTTTTTTGACTACCTTCACAGGATACGGTTTAGGTACGTGTACAGGAACCGGCCTCTCTACCTTTACCTTAACGGGATAGGGTATGTGCTTCTCTACCTTGACGGGATAGGGTACGTGAACCTCCTTGGTAATGATCTCCGTTTTTTCCGGATAATGTTCATGGTATCCTGCCAATACTGCCACCAGTACCAGGCTAATGTTTAGGAAATACGCAAGAATGTACATGCTATCGCGTCCACTGAACAACTGTGACCTGACGGCCTGTACAGGAGCTATATATACGAACAAGGTATTAAGTAATCCTGAGTCGTAACTGCGTGACCAGCCACCACTCTGTGACTTCTACCTTATCCTACCAGAGTTCTCGACCGTAAATATGAATTTGAGAATTGTACTTATTCTTCTTATTATTGATTTAATGACTTAATATATTAATTCTTTTCATGATTCAATAATGAAGTATAATATTTTAATTTTGTTATCCTTTCGAAAGTTAGATTAAACAGAAAAATTATTGTACTCAAATAGCGTAACGCCAAAATATGTAAGAGAGCCTAGAGAGGGACCTAGTAATTGGGTAAAGAGCCGGAGGCCTAGCTGACTAACGAAGAGCTGCTAACGAGGGGGCCCAGGGGACTTCGCCCCCCTGGCTCCAGAGTCATCAAATTATCCGAGGAATAAAAGGCAACTCGCCCTCGGGGCCTGTGATTATATTGAAAGTGGCCGATTGGCTCCTTCTGGCTATGGCACGTTCTTCCTTACAACTCTTTGTCCCTTGAAAGCGACCATTAAAAGTGTACCGAAGAGGAACAGGTCTTGTTTTCGGCTACTGTAACGAGCTCTTGGAAGGATGGGAAGATGTCCTCTTAGAGTGTTATTGCAGGGTGCTGAAGATGTAGGTATGGCAGAAAAATAAAATATCATATAAAGGTAAATGTTATGAAAAAGAAAAGATATATTAAACACCTATTATCTTCCAAATTTTATAATTGATGGTTTCCATTTTAAAAAGTTCTAAAAAGGTTTATTTTTTTTTTAATTTTTCAATGATGAAGTATGAATCTGTTTTAAGAATTTTATATTTTTTAATGTTGTTTCAAATTTCGTTTCTTTTGTTTTTATTACTGATTTGTTTTCTTTTCTTATGTTCTAATATTTCTTTTATTTTTGTTATTGTATATATAGTACGAATGAATCTCACGTAGATCTAATACTTAATGCCCTTAAGTGTGGGTAATAAAATAAAATAATTTAAAAAATATATATATATATATATATATATATATATATATATATATATATATATATATATATATATATATATATATTATAATAATAAAAAACTATGGTGTGTTCTTTAGACCACACGATAGAGGTGAAAACATCAACAAGGCGAAATTAATAATATGAAATATAATTTATAAATTACAGGTCATTATAAAGGGTATGCAGGTCTGATTTTTAGTTTCTGAAATATTTTAATCCACATCTTCAAATAATAAAAAAAATAAACTTTCATTAGTTTATCATTAGTTTTCGATAATATTCATTCCCTTTCTGCCTCTCTAACACGGCGTAGAGTTAAGATACAATTTTGAATAATAGCTCATTACACAGAGAATGAATAGATGAAAGTTTCCCTCGCTTACAATCTGTCCGGGTCCGATTTTTAGTTTTTGATATATTTTAATATATATGCAAAAACAATTAAATTAGTCAACTCCATTCTACTTCACCCGTGTGTTACACATCGGAAATCCGAAGGCTCAATCTAATCCACTTTCCACAAAAAAAGTGCATTCATTAGAAAAAGTTATCACTTCAATCAGTCTCACCTTTGATCACAATGACTTATTTTCTGTGGAATTGCTTTATAGAATAAGTAGTTATCTTAATACAGAATAGATTAGGTCAGAACTAACTATTTTATGCTGAATAATCAATTTATTAATTGTTGTTCACAGTAAAAGGTTTAGAGTGATTACTTCAATTGTTGCACCCTTGAATGAGCTCCTTATTCTTGGGGTTCTAAAAATGTATTACTTTCATTTATCTATATATTAAATATACAATAAACGAAAGTATTACGGTCATGGAAAATTTTGAACCCCAGTTTTAACCGAAATACACATTTTGAGATCTCCTATGTACAAATAATCAAGTCGGAAAATTATCTGTGTGCATGTAAACAGCTTAGCTCAAAAACGAAAAAAAGGTAATTTATAATTTATAATTTATAATTTATAATTTATAATACTAAAAATTTAAAGTGGACAGATGCCTCGAATATAAAAATACCTCTCCATCATAATTGACATGCCGAAGTTACATTTTTAATCACTTTTTTTATTTATTTTCTTAATATTCTTCCAAACGCCTCAAATCATTTTGACGAAATTCGATATATTTATGTAAGACAGAATTATCTTTTTTTATCAGGTAGGTACCTCATTCAAATAGTCTGAAAGAGCTCATAGAGAGCAATATTTGCCCAACTTAAATAAATTTCCGAAAATAAAAGAATTAGAATAAATATTTTTTTGTCTATAAAAAATGTATTTGGGAATGTCAATTTATTGTCGACAATCAGCAAATGTATTGGCGAAACATGAAATAATGACATGGCAGGCATGGGGAAGGAAAGTACTCAGCAGTAACTCTTCTCTAGCTTGTTTCAATTACTTAGGTTGTTTAAGGAAGGAGATCTCTCATCCAACGCCTTTTTAGTCTCTTCCTCATGTTCTGAGGTATGTCAGCTGTGGCCATGTCTTTTATTAGTCTGTTATTATGTCCGTTTAAATTTGTTTAAATTCGTTGATAAAGGATCGTTATATGTTGGGCAACTGTTGAAAGGTGGGGTTAGTATGTAGAGTTTTGTTAGTTACGTACCAAGGAGCTTTTGTTATGAGTCACAATAATTTTGATTGGAACGTTTGAAGTTTTTGTAGGTGGGTATTTTTAGCGATGCTATATATTTGTGATGGGTTCGTCCATATGGGTTTAAGTAAGTATTTATATGTATTCAGTAATATTTAATTTACAATTAAAAAGCTTAATACTTCAGAATAATTGGTAATAATTAGTAATATGCTACCATAGATGGTAATAATTAGTGACAAATACCACATAAATTTACCAGATTAACCTGTACCACTACAACCCATGAAGGTTCTTGGGTACAGTATTATGTGAGGATGTACTATTTCAAGGCCAATGGTTGTGCAGGGGGGTGATGGGGCCGATATCACACTCAACTGCCAGGTTTTCCCCCTTAATTTTTTTTTTATAATTAAGAGTATCCACTTTATAGAGGCTGCGTTTGCCCTAGGAATGTCTCCTGATCCCAGGGTCGATCCACGGCTAATGAAAAATTACTAGTCATTTCGAACTCGATTCGAACTCAGGACCTTGAGCTCTGGAAGTCAGTGCTCACCCACTGAGCTACTCAGCTCCCTCAAGATTTTGTTAAATAAATAAAATAACTGAAATAAATAAATTTATATTGGAGTTGTTCCTTAAAATTCCTCATACAGTATAAGTTTATTTCAGTTATTATACCAGATTAAACTGGTTGAAAATACATACTATAATTAATTGTTTGTTTTTTAACCTTGTTTATTAAGAAATATTACGTTTTGTCTCAAATCTTTTTAATGAATATTTTTAATATGTAATATGTGTTATTCAAAACTTGTACTTGTCAATATATGAGGAATTTTGTAGCCATAAGGGATAGCACCAATATAAATTTATTTTTTTCAGTTATTTTATTTATTTAACAGAATTTGAGTATTTGGGGTTAATCTACCGAATGTTGAATGCTATGAAAATCATTATTTTTAGTTGTGAATAGGGTGGTAAGTGAAATTTGTATGATGCCCTCTCCACACTAGATTTTTTTCTTTTATATGGTAAATAACTTCTTATTTGAGTTTTATCTACGTTTTCTATTATTTCTACTCAATACTGATAAAATTTGTTATTACCATAAAGAAGTATCTTTAAAATTGCCAATGGACATCTTACGTAATAATCACACTGTCATGTTTCGTCTATAATAAAACCATTTCTAAATGAATCTATTATGTACTTGATATTTATATTCTCACTAATTTGTATTCGTACGGTAAGCTGACAAATGTTTTGTCTTCATAATCGAAAATTTTCAACCGCGTTTTACTTTTAAACACAAAGAAACAAATTTGGTCCCATGTCCTTCAGTCTGGCTGATGCCATCAAATCTATCTGAACTTGTACAGAAGATACCGGGATGGCCATATTCTAGTTCAGGCATCTCCAAACTATTTGGTTCGCTGCCCACATCGAGGCCACTTAGTCACGGGAGTCATAGTGGGACTTCCACTAAGCAGTTTTTTTTTAATAGCTTTTAAAAATTTCACTACTTAATCAAAAAAAAATTTTATGAGATTTAGTTCAGAGATCCCCGTTATAATCCTATATAAACAACCTTTAAAATTTAATAGTATTTCAATTTCTTCAAACATCACTTTCTTGGAATCTAACGGATTAAGGAAGCGAATGAAAATTCCATTAAATAGTCTCGTGAGTTAAAACAATACTTGTTTATAATTTGATATTAATTTAAAATTAAAAGTTAACACATCATAATGTTGTAAAAAAACAAAAAAAATAATAATATAAAAGTCACTTAAACCATCTTTAAATCTTTTAAGTAATGACATTCAGGGCAATTACAAAAGCACCGCTGAACGTTAGCTGCTTAACCTTACATGCTGACTTTTACATGGCAACTGTTAACGAATACATACGAACCAATTACAAAAGATCACATGACTAGGAGACCCTAACATTTTAATAAATGACATAACCTCAACATATATGTCCTGCGATATCCGTAGATGATTGTGGAGGAGCTGGATGAGTGACCTCCTCGCCAAATGTAGATATCACACAAGGAGAAGGTGCCGCTTGGTACTGATTCCCCTCATGCCTCTCATTATATTTTGCAATGACATATAATTCACTGATTGGTATTACTATTATTACAGGCATTACAAGTTAAAATAAAAATTATATTATCATATATGTTTGATTTTTTTTTTTAAAGAAACTTTTAATTTTAATAAATTAATGAGATGCAGTAAATCATTTTCTTCTTTTGGTGAATCATTTTTATTTAATACTTTTGTATGAAATTTGCTTCCATTCGACTTTTAAGGATATGTGAAAGTAATTTCTTTGGA